CTTGAACTCTTGGCCTCAAGTGATTCTCCTGTCTTGGCCTCCCAAAGTGCTGGGATGACAGGTGCAAGCCACCATGCTTGGCCTGATTATAAAGTCTTCAGGAGCTTTGACTTTGGTGGAAGTGTCATTCCTATATAGAGTGCAGCTTAATAGCACTGGGTGACTGGGAATGGACAGGGATAGTTTTAGAAGTAAGTACAGTAAAATATCATATTAGACAGCGTCATACGTCACCAGTTTGTCCTGGCCAGTGGTGAAAATTCTGTGATTCTGAGTCAAACCAAACAAGCTAATAATCACAGTAGTACTAATTCTGGCCCTCCTACTAATGATAATGCAGTCAATAGTAATGAGCACTTCCTCTGTGTGAGCCACTGTGTCTCGTGCTTTACATTTGCAGCATCTTTCAACAGTGTCAATCTGACACCTTTGTTACCACCCCATTTCACAGAAGAAATGAAGGGTCAGAGAGATGAAGTCACCTGTCCCTGATTTTGGACTAGGGTTGGCTGACTCCAGAGCACACGCTCTTAATGCTGATAACAGATGTAAATCCTGGGCTCAAATCCTGACTGTGACATTTAGGGCCTCAAGCAAGCAACAACCTCTCTCAGCCTTGGTTTCCTCATCCATAAAAATGGTGCAAAAATACACTCCCTGATGGATTGCCACAAATCCCATTCAGGGATTCATTATGGCATTTATTGGCATCCATAAATGCCAGCTCTTATAGTTAATGGCCCCTCTTCTTTTCTTTAACTCTATTTCAGTATTAGGTGTTCTGTGTTGCCATATACCCATTAACGTCCCAGGAACCCAGGGAATCTCCATGTTTCTCTGTCTTGCTGGCCCTGTGTTTTCCATCTTGCCTTCAGAATTTTTGAATCTTGTTTTCTGCAAGTGAGAAAGCGGGGAGGTTCTCTTTGTAAAACATAAGAGCTACTATTACGCTACAATGAGACAGGAAGGAGGCCTGGAGAAAGACATCTGGAATCAACCCAAAGGACTTGAGTGGTTTCTGGAGGCTGCAGGGAGCAGAATGTCCAAAGTTTCTTCCTTAAGGAGCTGCTGTGGGCTCCCATCCACTCTGTGCTGTTGCTGCCTCCCAGAACACAGCTCAGTGTTGAGTCAGATGGAATTTCACACAGGCTGGGTGGTTCTGGAGTCAGACAGGCTTCCAGCTCTGTTAAATCTGGGTCAGTCTTTTGTTAGATCTGCAGTCTTGGTCAACTCCCTTTGTTTCTCTGAGATTTGGTTTCCTCATCTGCAAAATGGGCTGGTTGTGAAGAGTAAATAAAGGGATGAGTAGTTAAAAGGATTGTGTACACATGACAGACTGACATTAAAAGCTGCTGTGGTTGGCGCAGTGGCTCACGCCTATAATCCCAGAACTTTGGGAGGCTTAGGTGGGCCAATCACAAGGTCAAGAGATAGGGACCACCCTGACCAACATGGTGAAACCCCATCTCTACTAAAAAAAAAAATACAGAAATTAGCTGGGCTTGGTGGTGTGCACCTGTAATCCCAGCTACTCAGGAGGCTGAGGCAGGAGAATCACTTCAACGCAGGAGGTGGAGGTTGCAGTGAGCTGAGATCATGCCACTGCACTGCAGCCTGGTGACAGGGTGAGACTGTCTCAAAAAAAAAAAAAAGCTGCTAAATTTATTCAACAAATATTTATTGAATACTAAATGCCTATGAGGTACTGTTCTAGATCTGGGGTTGGCAAACTATGACCCTGAGGCCAAACCCAGCTGCCACCTGTTTTTGCAAATAACATTTTACTGCAACCCATCCAGGTTGATTCATTGACCTATCATCTATGGCCGATGCTGCTGCAACAGAAGTGCATGGTTGTGACAATAACAGGCTCACAAGATTACAGTATGTAGTCTCCAGCCCTTTACGGAAAAAGTTGCTCATCTCTGATCAAAGTGAACAAGACACATACACATCTCTGATGGAACTTTCAAGGAGCAGGAAGACCATAATAAGCAAAGTAAAAAAGAAACTGTATAATATATAAGAAGGTAGCAAAAAAGGGAGAAGAATAAAACAAGGGTGGGGGAGAGAGAATGCTGGGGTGAGTAGAATGGTGGTTCTGAGTAGGCTGACCCAGGCCAACTTCACTGAGAAGGTATCATTTCAGCCTTGAGTTGATGGGGAGGAGAGAGCAGGCAGTGAGGATACTGGGAATTGTTCCAAGCAGAGGCACCAGTAACTGCAAGGGCCCTGAGGCAGGAGTGTGCTCCGAGCATCCTGAAATCAGTGAGGAGTCTAGTGTGGCTGGACACAGATGGGCAGCAGGGACTGGGTTGGCGGGGGCAGAAGCAGGAGATGCGAATCCTCCTTTTAGGGTCACCAGTTGTCTCAGACCTTGTGGTGCTTCTGTGTACTGCCTTTTTCTCCCAGTGAGCTGGAAGCCACTGCCCAGGGTTGACCCAAGAAGCAACATGATCAGAGTTATACTTTACAAATCCCAAGGGCCTCCCAGCGAACTGGAGAAAAATCCAGATTAGAGAGCCTGGGAGGCTCCCTGTTGACCTCTGAGCCTTTTGTTCCTGAATATTTCCTTTTAAAATTTAGGCAGGCATCAAGAATCCTGACACCTACAGGAGCTTGGCTGGATGGGACACAGCAGGAGTTCTCAGGACCATAGCAAAGTGAGGGACACACAGCCCTTTAAGGACGGCTACAATTTACCTCCAGCCGGTGGCTGTTATATAGGAAGGTCAGCTCAGTGTCATCAGAGCTGACTCCTCAAGAGAACTCAGAGATGCAGATTTTAACATAAAAATTTTCTGCATTTATATATGGGCTAGTAATTCAACTTGTCTTTTTAAACATCATGCTGGACAAAACATATTTGCAGTACCTTTTCTGCAAACATACTCCCAGTTTACTCAATACAAGGATTTGGGCTTCTTTTTGTTTTATTTTTTTGAGTAGGTCTTTGGGACCTGGTGTTAGAAAATTGTTGTTTGTAATAAGGTGCCCATGGTAAATTGTGATATGGACCAGAACACACACAGGAGGACTCTGTGGTGCCCTGCATAGCCCTCGGGCTGGTGTAGCAGGTTGCAAGGGACTTAGGTCTGAATATCCCTTTTGGCTTCTGTTACCTTGTGGGTGTAGCTGGTACAGGAATGACAGCTCATTTATATTCTGGGGCTGGCCATGTGCTCGGGACTGTCCGAGAGATTGAGAAGTTGACTCCTTGCTTGGGGCCTCCGGAAGTATACACTGCAGGAGAAAGGGTAGCACAAGCTGTCCTTAAAAACAGAGAAATACTACTCTCTCCTTCTACAAGTTCGGGTAATTTATTTATTTATTTTTGAGATGGGATTTTGCTGTCGTTGCCCAGGCTGGAATGCAGTGGTGTTATCTCGGCTTACTGCAGCCTCTGCCTCCTGGGTTCAAGGGATTCTCTTGCCTCAGCCTCCTGAGTAGCTGGGGTTATAGGCATGTGCCACCATGCCTGGCTAATTTTATATTTCTAGTAGAGGTGGGGTTTCACCGTGTTGGTCAGGCTGGTCTCGAACTCTTGGCCTCAGGTGATCTGCCCTGCCATGGTCTCCCAAAATGCTGGGATTATAGGCATGAGCCACCATGCCTGGCCTAAGTTTGGCTATTTTAGATTCCACATCTATGTGGGATCCTGCAATGTTTGTCTTTCAATGACCGGCTTATTTTTCTTAGCATCATGCTTTCAGGTGTGTCTATGTTTCCGGGGCTGTGGGGAGAGGGAAGTGGGGAGATACTGACCAAGAGGTAGCAGGTTTCAGTTGCGCAAGATGAATGAGCTCTGGAGATCTTATGTACAGTCATGTGACCTTTGCTAACAGTACTATACATATACTTGAGATTTGCCGAGATGGTAGGTCTTAAGTGTTCTCACACAAAGAAACAAAAGGATATAATAACTAACTCTCCTGTGGTGATTATGTCACAATACATATGTCTACCAAAACATCAAGTTGTTTACCTCAAATACATACAATTTTAATTTTTCAGTCATACCTCATTAAGGCTGGATTAAAGAAATATATACTGGGAAAAAACACACATATGAAAACCCAGTGGAGATAGACTGGCTGGTGCCAGTTTACCAGAATGAAGGCCTCAGGCCAGTCTGGCCAACAATCATGCTGTGTTTGGGTTGATGGTCTTGTTTAAAAAACTGTTTTAAGCTACTTGTTGGCTTTCAAAAATCAAAAGGTTTCATACTGCTGCTTTGCTTATATACCCAGAAGCGAGATTGCTGTATCATAGGGTCATTGTATTTTTTGAGGGACCTCCATACTGTTTTCCATAGTAGCTGTACTAACTTCTGTTCCTACCAACAGTGGAGATAAGGGTTCCCTTTTCTCCACATCCTCGCCAACACTTGCTGTCGTTTGTCTTTTTGATAATAGCCATTCCAACAGATGTAAAGGAATATGCACAATTATTATTTGTCAATTAAAACTAAGTAAGTAAATAAAAAGGAGGAAGAAGACTTCACACTAAATTCTAGATGTGAGCTTCTCTTGATGCAAAGTATCAGGAGATTCTGGCCATACCAGGCCCATACCATCCTGCATAGATGAGAATGGCTGCCTCTTGCAGATGCAGGGATGTGCTCCCTACTCACCTGGCAGTTTACTTTACTTGTTTACATTCCCTGCCCATCCCCTTCCTCCCCGAGGGCTTTTGAGTTTGCATCTCTTGAAGTTGGGGCTGCTGATCTGAGCAACGCTCACCTGGAGTTGTGTCCCGTTTGCAAGAACCTCCGTGCTCAACCCCAGGACGAGAATGCCCTGCGTTCTCCCTGACCATTGACCAGTTACGATTGCCCTACTTGTTACATCTTTAAACACCTAGCACGGTGCACCAGCTCAGCATCCAGGGCACAGGACAGAGCAGCCTTCAGAAGAAATTACAAGGAGCTGTAGGGCTGCTATTTTGGTAGAATTCTGACCTGTCTCTTGGGTTCCAGAGGTTGACTTTCTTCTCTTCCAAGTCCTTCTGTCCTCAGCTGGTGGCCCAGGTGGTCCCTGTCTCTGAGGGTGAAGTCTGTGGCCACTGATGTTATTCTGGAACACTGAGAGGCAAGGGAGAGAAGAGATTTTCCCTCTTTTCCATCTGATGTCCTAATGTAGCCTCCTTGGGCAACTTGATCACACAGCAAAGTCAGGGCTGCAGCTGGGACCCTGGAAACATTTCATCCATGACGTCGTAATTGATTTTCCTCCTTTCGTCCTCCCTCTAGATTCCTCTCTCTTTCCCCCACCATCCCCGTTTCTCGGCCACTATAATGCTTCACTGATTCCCTCTGATGGTTGGGGAGAATTCACTCTCCATGACTTGTTGTGTCCCTGTTAATCCCCAATCAATACGTGGCATCCAATGTAGTCGCTGTTCGGGGAAAAGTAATTATTATTCTGCCTAGGCCGAGAGTCATCTTAATTTAAAAGGATAAATTGCTCACTCAACTTCCAGACTTTGCCTTCAAAAAGGAGACAAGTTCGTGGGTTGGCAGAGGGAGGTGGTGTTTCCTCTTAGCCTATGCATATTAGAAATACCCTTCTTATCCTCTTACAAACTCTTGTTTATATTTTTTTACTGAAGGATGTGCCAATCTCTTTGAATTTAGTTTCTCTACTCCTTCCAACAACCTGAGAGTAGTTGATTCATTTATAACATAGGGAAACTGAGGCAAAGAGATGACAAGACTTATCCAAAGTCATTTAACTTGTCAATACAAAGCTGGGATTGAACTTAGTGTGTGAGACTCCAAAGCTCATGCTATACGTTGAAGAAAATACTGTTCCAGACCTTCATGCCCCAGCATTTCATTTTTGTCTGTCTCCCAGGACAGGCTGAAAACTCCCTTCTCAAAGCTCTTCTCCTGGCATGAGTTTGATGATTTATCTTTCACCAGCAAGCCTACTGTAGAGAGTTTGAGTTATGAATAGAGGGAAATGATTATGTTTCTGAGATGAATTATTGCACATCTGAGGTCACAAAGTGTTCTTAATGTCCCCTGAACAGGTGAGTGGAAGGATCAGGGGCTATCGAATGGGAAGAAAGCCAGGGACAAAGGCATTTGCAGAGCCACAGGAATCTCAGGTGAGATTCAGCTCATCTCTTGAACACAGTAACCCAAACTGCCTAGGCTTGCCAGTCTGTGGGTGAGATGAAGTCATGGAAACGGGAATTGTGCACATTCTCTGGCTCTTTATCTTCATTCACACATACAGGAATTCTGCCCATGCAAAGTTTTCCTCTGTCCTGTCTGAGAATTCTTGTGGTGGGGTTATTGCACCCTTGCTTTTAGCTGATTGCATTCATTTCATAGTGTCTTATGGTTTTTCTTCCACATTGGCCTCATAGTCAATGTATGTATCTTGAGATGCTCTTGAGGGTGCCAGGGGTCACCATGTCATAGGTTTTGTGTCCTGATGTTTATGAAGGTGCCAACTCTAAAGATTTCCGGAGCAGTGGAAAGAAGTTATCTCTCTCCCATTCTGGGACAGACACCACTCTCCAAGCTCCAAAGCCATCCTGCTGGGGCTTTGTCCTAGAGTCCCATGAAAACAGAGCTGTTAGTTTTTCCATCTGTTCCATCTCCAAATTGCTCCAAAGGGCATGCATCTGGCTCTTGATCCAACCTCATTTCTTTGTTTTGCGACATCAAAGCTTCTTGCTTTCTTCTTCATCCCCAACTAATGCCCTCATGCAGTTGTCTGAGGGGGCCCCGTTTACCAGCTTTCCATATTCTCAGTTATGTCTGAATTCCAGTTTGGCTTCAAGGTAGGATATAGTAGTATTTAATAGTATGAGCTTGGGTGGGAGTGTAAAATGGTGCAGCAGCTTTGGAAAACAGTTTGGCAGTTTCTTAACATGTTAAATATGAACTTACTATACGACCCAGCAATTTCCCTTCTAGGCAGCCACCCAAGAGAAGTGAAAGCATATGCTCACACAAAGACATATCCATGAATATTCATACAAACATTATTTATAATCAAAGTAGAAACACTCCAAATGTCAGTCAGTAAGTAGGTAAACAAATGTGGTATATCCATATAATGGAATATAATTCAGCAAGAAAAAAGGAATAAAATACTGATACATGCTACTACATGAGTCTTCCTCAGTCACCGTATACTAAGTAAAAGAAGCCAAATGTATAGGCTCGTGTTGCAGAATTCCATTATGAATTGTCCAGAAATGGCAAATCTATTGGGAAAGAAAGTACATTAATGATTGCCTGACCTGGGTTGGGGATGGAGGTAAAAATGAATAGCAGATGAACATGGGGACTTTTTGGGGGTGTTGAAAATGTTCTAAAACTGGAAGATAATTGAAATTCTATAAATTTGCTAAAAATCACAGAATTGTGTACTTACAATGTGTCAGTTTTATGGTATGCAAATTACATATCAATAAAGCTTTTTGTTACTTGTTTTGAAAGTACTGATTTTAGATTCAGTCAGACCTTAATTGCTTAATTGCGTCCTCTGTTGCTTACTAACTGTGCCTCTATGGATTACCTCAGTTGGTTGAGCCTCAGTTTCTCTATCCATAAATTGGGCATAAAGACCACTTGATAGGGTTGTTGTCAAGATTAAAACCGGTTAAAGTTTGAGAAATGTTTAACATAGAGATAATATAATAATAAAAAGTAAAATATATGAAAAACTTAATATTGATATACTATTATATGCTTAATAAAAGTTAATTTTTGTTATTGTTACCTTTCCTTGCTGTGAAAACTTTTTTGTATGATTAACATTTTGAAATGTACCATAGGAGTATACAGGTACCAAAATAATTAGGTCTCTTTTATTTTGGAAAGTGTTTCTGAATATGCAGTGCATCTGTGGATGGAAGGTGTCTAAGCTTGGAGGAGACGTGGCGAGTGTTACTATTACGGTCTACTGCGTGTTGTCCCAAGTGGGTCCTGTCTAAACTGCATTTCAGGCCATCACCCTCCCTCCCACTTGCTTACCACAACAGGTCTTCTGGTCTTCCCAGACTCCTGGGCTCCCGCTTCCTATTTTTGCCATGATTCTCACAGAGAGGCTTAGAAGGAGAGAGGTTGGGCAGGATGTCCCCACGGGGCTTCCCGCAGCCTCCCAATTAGACTAGTTGTGGGGAGACTCTGGAGGAGGGAGTTCTGGGCTGGCGCCAGCAGGATGGCTGTGAGTCTACAGAGAGAGAAAATAGAGCACAGAAAGGGAGCTGAACTTTCTAAGCAGCCAGTTTCATTTTGGGCATGGCAGTTGCTTGTGCTGTCAGGGAGAATCAAGCTCTTCTGCTAAGGAGAGCTGCCAGGGGCTGACAAACTCCATCCTTACAGGTTCCTCAGCTTCTCTCTGGCTTACTGAAAACTTGGCTGTGCCTGTCTGGGAGTACAGAGCTTCTAGGTTGAGGAACGTTGGGTATGTTGAAGTTGAGCCTTTCAGATGATTTACTGGCACTTGAAGTCTTCATTGTCTGGCTTCTGTCATAGGCACACTTCACTTCTTGCATCTCACACAGTGTTGACTTCTCCATGTCCCCTGGTCTCTCTGTTCCCATAGGTACTGTGCTACCTTCTGCGTCTTTACCTTTATTCCTCCAGCCCTACGTGTTTCTTATTTTTGCAGATGAGGAAACTGAGCCTGAGAAAGATGAAATAATTTGCTCAAGGTCACACAGCTAGCAAGTGACAGAGCTGGAGTTAGAACCCAGGTTTTAATGATTCAAGAGCCCGAGTGCTTGGCTATTAAGCTCTGTCACCTTCCAAATTTTGGTGTGAATTACAGCACATCTTATCATAATTGTATGCTGCACATCTGCCTCCCTTGTGCAAAGACTGTATACTTTTCATCTCTGTATCTTCTTGGACCAGGATGAAGCCTGACGTACAGTAGCAAATTTGGTACAAGTTTAAGTTCCTGCGTCAGAGCCCACCCCCACTACTTACTAGCTCTGTGGCTTTCGGTGACTCAGTTAAACCTTTCTGAGCCTCAGTTTCCTCGTTATAGGATAACAATACCTACCCAGGGCGTTTGTGAAAATTGAGTGACAGGATGCATATTTGGTGTCTGATGCATAACGGGTGTGATAGACATTTTTGTTTTCTTTTGGGACATTGAATACTGTATATTCTCAACTATGCTGTTTAGATAGGGTTTACCTTAATCTCCGGTTCCAAGGAGAGAGAACCCTGGGCAGCCTGGCCACTCAGAGGTCTGAATTACCCTGGTCACAGGGATTGACTCAAAGGTGGACATGTGACCTGGATGAGCCAATCTTTGCCTTCTCTGGGACTCTGGCTAGAAATACCAGGAAGTGGCAAATTACATCCTTCTGAAATGATGGATACAGTGAACCAAGTAAATAGTGAGCTGTGTAGACACCAGGTGGCAAAGGAGTTTTCTGAGAATGAAGCCAACCCAGAGGAAACAGATCCAAGAGGAGAAAGAGAGTTCTGATCATATTATTCATTTTATGCCTGGAGTTTTTTAGTCACATAAATCAATAAACTTGTTCTGTCTTTCCTATGATTTCTCTCTTTCTATCTGCCTTGAGCTAACTGAAGTTGGTATTTGGCACTACTGAGTGAAATATAAATATATGTATGTATGTATGTATATATATATATAATCTTTTTTATTTATTTATTTTTTTTGAGACAGAGTTTCGCTCTTGTTACCCAGGCTGGAGTGCAATGGCGTGATCTCGGCTCACTGCAACCTCCACCTCCCGGGTTCAGGCAATTCTCCTGCCTCAGCCTCCTGAGTAGCTGGGATTACAGGCATGCGCCACCATGCCCAGCTAATTTTTTTTTTTTGTATTTTTAGTAGAGATGGGGTTTCACCATGTTGACCAGGATGGTCTCGATCTCTTGACCTCGTGATCCACCCGCCTCGGCCTCCCAAAGTGCTGGGATTACAGGCTTGCGCCACCGCGCCCGGCCTATATATATCTTTTTAAATTGCGCTTTAAGTTCTGGAGTACAAATGCAGATTATGCAGGATTGTTGCATAGGTACATACAACATAGGTTTGGTTGATCATAGGTTTGCTACCTCCATCCCCTTGTCACCTATATCTGGCATTTCTCCCCATGTTATCCCTCCCCAACCTCCCTGCCTTCTGCTGTCCCTCCCGTAATCCCCCCCAACAGACCCCACTGTGTGATGCTCCCCTCCCTGTGTGAAATTTTTGTTCAGCAAAGGAGGTGTTTTAAAATGGTGAGCTTTGCCTTTATTCCCTGAGTGAGGGAATGCCCAAAATAATATATGCTTGTTAAAGATCAGGGTTAACTTTAGTTCTAGCAAAGATGAAATAATTAGGTAGGCAGTCAAGGTGAAGACAGGTAACAGGTCCAGAATTTACGGGGAAGAAAGTTCTTTGGGGGGAAGCAGGACATTCAGGCTTAGTAATTTCATTACTAAGAGAGCTGCAGGAGGGAGGGGTGGCAGGTGAGATTGACCAGGTATGTTGGGGCCAGGTGATCAAGAGCCTTAACTATGATGTAATTGGATTGGAAGATGAATAGTGGATGGTGAAACTGAAGGCCGCTAGGCCATTTGTGAAACAATGGGGATGAATGAGGACAATGACAGTGAGTATGGGGCAAAGACTTAGACCTTAATTTTGAGTCGGTATACATCCGAATGGGGAGGGAGGATATGAATTGGGGTCTAGTTTGGTGTAGCAAAAGCTTTACATATATTAAGTCCTATAAGGCTCAGTTTGATTTGTTTAACGGGAGTGTTCTGGACATTTTAGAGTGCACATTCTCATAAGGCAGTGAGTATGTTATATGTTAGGTGGTGATCAGAGCTGAGAACAAAGCAATTTTGGTAAGATGACGGGGGTAAGGATAAGGTGTTGTTAAGTAGGGCATCCAAAGAGAGCCCCCCCCACCCCCGCCATGCCCTTTTTTGAGACAGGGTGTTGCTCTGTCACCCAGGCTGGAGTGCAGTGTCCTGACTGTAGTTCACTGTAATCTTGATCTCCAGGGCTCAAGTCATCCTCCTGCCTCAGCTTCCCCAGTAGCTGTGACTGCAGGTGCATGCTACCACAGTTGGCTAGTTGTTGTTTTGTTTGTTTGTAGCGATGGGATCTTGCTATGTTACTCAGGCTTGTCTCAAACTCCTGAGCTCCAGCAACCCTCCTGACTTGGCTTCCTGAGTAGCTGGGACAACAGGGGGCACCACCATGCCTGGCTAATTTTTTAACTTTTTTGTAGACTTGGGATCTTGCTAAGTTTCTCAGGCTGATCTTAAACTCCTGGGCTCAGACGATCCTCCCACCTTGTCCTCCCAAAGCACTGGGATTGCAAGCAGAAACCACCATGCCTGACCCAAAGAGAGCATCTTTGATAA